CTTGTCCCACAAAGCCTGTCTTTTAAAGCAAATTTAGTTTAGGTATCACAGCCAAAACGTGAATATACAGCATAACATACAGTAACTGTGGAGATGTTAATTCACATCAGTTACACACAGTGACACGTGAGCTCCCAGCTATGTCACAAGATACAGAAGATACAATGGAAGATCGGGTTAAGTTTCTTGGGAGTTTGTATTTTGATGTTTAGGTTTTATTAGGTTGTTTGGAGGGGTTTTGGTTTGGGTTAGAGGTGTTTTTTTGTGGGGTGGACACGGTGTCATGCATTTATTTATTTAAGTTTTATGTCTTAAGAAAATGATGGAAAAGACCTTTGAAAGCGAGCCTTATTCATCTTAGGAAGCATTAAATTAAATAATCTCTCTTCTGTTTCTTTGGAATTCGCATTCTTTTTCAAGAAGAAATATTCTCCTTTCTAAATATGAATCTTGGCTATGATGTAGTTTTACAAAACACTAACAGGTCTATACAGAATTTTTTAATCCTCCCTAAAGAGGTTAACAATTTTAGCACATTTCTAGTTTAGAAAGGATACTGTTTACCCTCAGGTGCTTTTTCTCCCCAGTGTAAATTTAACCTGGAAATCTCAATAAAGGTAAGTTGAAATCTTCAGGATCTTAATCTCAAAATCTAAATTTTTAAACTTTAGTGGGTTTTTGGAAGTGTTAATCTCTGCTTGAAGTTAAGCTACAGTGCTGCACCACCACTTCTTCCTTCTCATGACAAACATCTTTAGAAGACTTCTAATTTACATACATTCACTTGCTATCTTTATTGATTTGTTGTAAGTTTTTCATAGCACATCAGTGCAGATACAGCCTTCCCAAGTCTATTTCACTTAGAAGACTTCTCAGGTTTTGACACAAATTACAGCATTACATGAATCCCAAGGTTTTTGAATTCAAGAGTGCTTTTAAAAGCAGCTAACCTTCCCTAGTGTTTGCTCTTACATCTTCAATTTCTGAGAAGTATTTTATTTCTTCAAGTCACCTATATGCTTAACGTAACTCCAGAATCTTGACTTCAAGCAGAACCTTCAAATGATCGTTTGCTTTCCCCCTCCAAGATGTTCAAGCATCACACACATCAAATATTACAACAGAAATTATCATGTATACATGGTTACCTTGTTAAACTGTTCATTTCTGTCAGTGCCATTTCACTCAATACAGGCAAAGCAATTAAATTACAGGGGAGTGAACAATATTACCAACAAACACTATAGGCACAGTTAAAATGAGCGAAGACTAAAGCCTCTTCCCTAAGGCTGCAACCATTTATTCTGGAGCCCCATTTATTTCAGCTACAGGGGTGTGATTTTAAATAATTGGCTTTAATAAGGCAGAAGTCATTTTAAGTGGAAGTTGCTCCAAAAAAGGAACCCGGCTTTCCACATTTAACATACCTTTTAAACAAAATATGAAGATTAACTTTTACAGGTATGCAAAATAGCTTTTAAAGGAACACTTCAGCATTGCTCCTTAAGTACAAATCACCAGTATCTAAAAGCTTCCACAAAAAAACCCCAAACATGGCTTCAGATTTCCACTATACCAATTACTACTATCTAGATCAAAAAAAAGTTACAAGCAGTATCCACCTCAAAACAGTTTTTGTTATAAAGCACTTAAAAGAATTAATACCTACCAGAAATGCATGCCTGGCCTTTTCAACAATTGTGGTTAGCCACATCCTACCATACCAACTGCACTAGTTATATGAACACTCAAGTCCAAACTGCTACTTGAAAATGCCTCAAGTTATTCTTTTCCTTTAGATAACTAGCTCCTTCTCCAGAAGCACACCTTTGTTCTCTGGCACGTATATGTTATACATTAATATTCCCTCTTATGGTTCATAACTATGAGAAATACACACCACTCACGGCATGGTATAGCTAGCTAGCGACGGGCAGCTGGGACTGCCTTCCTCTGGGTTTGAAAACAAAGCCAAGCAGCAAGTAATAAAGCCAACAAACTATGGCCTCCTAGAGCCATGCCTGGGACCCTTCACCCCTTGCCCTTCTGTTCCTTCAGCACCGTAATCCCAGCTGCTCCTGCCTCATAAACCCCCCAACAACCCAGTTCAGAGTGATGCCCATGCAGGCTGGGCAGCTGCTGCTGCCAAGCAGGATGAGGGAACAGAGTTAGGAACTGCCTTGTGCTTATCAAGAGGGTTTTTTCTTCTACGTGCTTCTTTTCATAGAATTTATGGGCCACAAGTATTTGCAACTTTATTCTTTTAGCAGACAGCCACACACCAGCCAATGGTTTAGACAGAACAAGTGGTGGAAGAGAAGAAAGAGGAAGATAGATAGACTAATAGTAGTAGGAATCTGATCACTAGCCTCATTTATTCACAGGAAATGAGGCTGTCAAATCCTAATTCCATCAATTCCTTATTTATTTTCATCTACAATAAAATATTTTTCCATTACAAGGAAACCCTGAATTACAACTACTCAGTGAGAACTCTCATAAAAGAGCAATTAAAGTAGAGGTTTGAATGCTGCCTGCTCTGCAGCTAACAGAGGGCTGTTCTCACTTACTAGGTATTTTTAATTACTACAAATATTTTGCTTATTATTATGGCATCACCATAGATTTCCTTATCCAGTAAGGAGAAGCATGAAAGATTCAGCATCCAGAAGCTGCACCACTCAGTTCCACCAAAAGCATGACTAATTCAAACTGGATTTTATGATTTCCTGTAGCACTGCTTTATTTAAAAGAAGGAATTTTCTGACACGGCTAAATATAGCTTGATTCCAAAATTGTGACACACCTTTAACTTGGAAGGAAGTGGTTTCCAAACCTATCTCCCTCAAACTCAATGCACATAAGTAGAGCCATCATATGAGCAGACAGTGTGAGCTTGCAGCCCAGAAAGCCAACTGTATCCTGGGCTGTATCAAAGGAAGCGTGACCAGCAGGTCAAAGTAGGTGATCCTGCCCCTCTACTCTGCTCTTGTGAGACCTCACTTGGAGTATTGTGTCCAGTTCTGGTGTCCTCAACATAAAAAGGACATGGAGCTGTTGGAGCAAGTCCAGAGGAGGGCCACGAGGATGATCAGGGGGCTGGAGCACCTCCCGTATGAAGACAGGCTGAGAAAGTTGGGGCTGTTCAGCCTGGAGAAGAGAAGGCTGTGTGGAGACCTCAGAGCAGCCTTCCAGTATCTGAAGGTGGCCTACGAGGATGCTGGGGAGGGACTCTTCATTAGGGACTCTAGTGGTAGGACAAGGGGTAATGGGTTTAAACTTAAACAGGGGAAATTTAGGTTAGATACAAGGAAGAAGTTCTTCACAGTGAGGGTGGTGAGGCACTGGAATAGGTTGCCCTAGAAGTTGTGAATGCTCCAACCCTGGAGGCATTTAAGGCCAGGCTGGACAGAGCCTTGGGCAACATAGTTTAGTGTGTGGTGTCCCTGCTCATGGCAGGGGGGTTGGCACTAGATGATCTTAAGGTCCTTTCCAATCCTAACTGTTCTATGATTCTATGACGTTGTCTTTCAAGACACCATAGAAGACCCTGATCTGTTGGCAGTTTTCTTCTCCTCAGAGGCTACTGCTCTGGGTTTTAGGGCTTTGTTGCTGTTTGGTCTGCCTCCAGTACTGATCCCTACATCACTAGCAACTTGCCTCCAACTGAACTTCACGCCACTGATCACAACCCTTTGACCTGGCCATTCAGGCAGCTTTCAATCCACCTCCCTGTCTATTTATCTTCGTCAGCATGCTGACAAGGATGTTACGGGATACAGCATCAAAAACCTTACCCAAGTCAAGATAAACTGCTCCTCCCCCACTCACAAGCTGGTCACCTTGTTGCAGAAGGCTAGCAGGTTGGTTGAGCACAATCTGTCCTTCATAAATCCTTGCTGATTATTCTTGAGCATATCCTAGGTGCATCTGATAAAGTTTCTAGTGAACTGGGTCATCTCTCCAACTATGAACATGCTTGTGAGGAGAAGCCTCAAATCTCCTTCTCAAGCTTAAGAGTTGTAAGCAGCAGTCCAGAACTCCCTTTTTGTTAAGAGTCTAAAAAACGAGATGGGTCTAGAAGGTCTCATCACTCTTCAGATTTTTGATATGTGGGATTATTGTTCCTATTCTCCCTTTCATAACTTAGTCTCCAGAAAAGACTTCAGGCTCATAGATAACTGCAGAAGTAATGCAGTTATGTATGCAGTTATGCATGCTTAATAGATGTCCAAATCCTCTTTCATTACTACCCAGAGATACCCAGCTCTTTGCCTAATGACTGTCATCCAGTTCTGAGAACCTGAGAGAGCACTCCGGATCCTTCCCAAGAAAAAGGTACTTTAACAAAAGCAAGTTTCAAGCTTCAGAAAATACTGACTCTCCTTGATGGCACCAAAACACTGGGAAGATTGCGGTGGGAGAAGTAAATCAAACTTGCAACCAGGAACCAAAGGCACAAACAAGCTATCTACAACCAAACTACTTCACTGTCACTGACTAAATTCACAGTGAAGTTTCTAATCCCAGGAAATTTTTATTAAATAAGCACCAGAAGTTATTCTAAATAATCACCAATGCCAACTTATTACTTCCAAGTTAATATCTCATTTAATCCAAGGCCTTTTCAATTAACAGTAGATTTTCCTCTCAAAAAACCTCTTTATAATTAGTATTTTTACAATTAATTTACTTTTGAAAGTCAAAACATATTGCTGGTCTTAATCTTATTAGTATTTCAGAATTCTCCACCAAGGCTTCTACCCATTTTTCCATGAGGACTGTTTTGCATACTACATGCCTGAACATTCCCCTTTTAAAGCAGCTTCCTTCAAAATATTATCTGATGGCTGTAGAAGAACGTTGGCTCTTTGACAGCTATTATATTCTTCATTCTTTTTTCAACTCAGCTCACAACAAGATTTAGGCATCTGTAGAGAAGGGATGGAGAGCACTCCCAGTTTGTATGCTGTCATTTAGAATTAGTGTTGATGTATTACCTCTGTCACAGCCCAGTGGTGTAAAAACTGGTCCAGATCAGTTAGGTAAAGACGGACAGGTGAAAGCTGTGACTGGCTAATGTGTGGTTTTCCTCTAATGCCCTGGAGACTAGTCAACTCCTCTCTCGAAAACCCTAGAGAAAAAGAAGCAGTACAACAGTATCACAAAACAAGCCAAGCACTGTTCTACTTCAACAGCATCACTGACAAACACTGTCTTTCAAATTACGTTTATATAACACTTTTCATGAAAAACTTTTGCTTGGTATTTTAACTGAGGTATATCAAAATACAAAGTCTGGCTTCTGAAATAAATCAATGGCATACCCATTTAAACTGTAATGTCATATAGAAAAAAAAAACCCTGTAAGAGGCTAATGTTATGCTGCTATTTTCAATGTATGCATCTTTAATACATACATATACGTATATATGCAAGACAGGATAACACAAGACAGTTCACCACATCTTCACAGTAACTCCGTAACCTTCTAACATAACCTCAGGGTTTAAAAAAATAATTAATTTGGCTAATTATTTCTAGCCAGGTACTGGATGCTGTAGTAAAACAGGACTACTGCTCCGAAACAGACACTTTGGGTTTGCTTTCATTTTCTCAGTTACCAGTCCGGCACCCTTTCCACTGTTTTAAGAAAGAAAAAACACCTTAATTTTTGAAAACAAAGTAGCTGAACATTATGAATGACTGAGGTGATGAAGAAAAGACACTTTCTTTTTACCACAGCAGAAATTGCTGGAAGATACTTCTCAGCAATATTATGTCATTTTAACCACTGTAATTTCCCAAAGTTGCATCACCACAGAGTACAACTATTTTTATATCTGAGTCAGAATATAGTAGCAGAAGTAATCCTGCTCACATGCTGGCCTTGGGCAGCTCACTACAACGTATTCTGACTACTTTATTCCGATGGAATGGTTTTAATAGCGTGAGCGTGTCCACAGGAAATCCCAGAGGCACTCGCTTGTATTGTTAGGAGCCAATAAAAGCCATTTACCTAAATCTAGAGAAAAAAATCCTTGTGTCATATGCTGAATTTAGGTTTTCCTCATACTTGCCAAAGAAAGTTGCTAGAATGAAGAAAAGAAGTATGCAAATATTCAGCCCAAATGGCAAAGTGGAAAAACAGGGTGTCAAAAATCAGACTAAGAGAAAAAAAGGGTATCTCACATCAAAAATACATAGGAAGATTAGAATTATTTTCAGGAAGTACTTACTGCATCATTTATTCTACATTAAATCCAGTAATTGACTATCAAAGCAAATTTCAGTTTGTTAATTCTGAATTATGACATTCACATGGATTACCTATAAGGGTTGAAAACAAGAAGCTGAAATAGTCCACATCATTCACTGAATTATCCTGCACTTGGCACTTCCAGCCTGCAAAGGATGATCTACACAAAACCAACAGCAGATAGTTTATTAAAAACCATATAATTAAGAATTCACAACCTACCTGCACAATACAATCAATTAGCATGACTAAATTGTTAATTTTAGCATTGCTGTTTCTAACTGCTGCTGTTAGAACAGCATTTTAAATAGCTTCAAAACCAGAACTTGCTCTTTTCAAGACAAGTGATAACTGAACTTTGTAACCTTACATGGGCTTAGGTTGTTAAGTTGATTAAATTACTGAGATAGCAACTTCTCAGAAGTACTAGTATAACCTTTAATATAGTGAGAACAGCCAACATACCATAAATTATATTAGTTTCATTTCCCTTATCTGGTAGAAGTCATTATATTACAAAGCTGGGCTGTATTTTTAATTATATGCACTATTTTTAACACAGCTCTTTACATGAACAATAGATCCCATTTAAAAACAGTCTCAGCATCTATTTCAGAGTAGCTAAAGCTGTTAAACACAGGACTAAATTAAAAACTTGCTTTGAGATTTAGAACACAAAAAGGAGCAATATGCAAAGACCAGAGCAAACCCATTACCAAAGCTGTCAGACACTTCCCTTTCTAGGAGCAATCTGTAAGAAATGGAGCATTTTGTTTCTCAAATTAGCAGCAATGGAAACTAGAAGCAAATATACACCGCTGACCACCTAACAGCAGTGTCTTGCCTGTGTACTGGTGTAGAACCAGGAGAAAGCCAGGAGAAAGCCAGGAGCTGGGAACACGTACACCTCACACATACTTTCCTCAAAAGGCTGCAGTTCAGAACTACATCACATTATGCAAAATGCATATTATTCAGATTTACTTATAGGCTGCTCTTGGCACTTGCACTGCAGACTATGGATCTTTGCTGTAAGAGATTGCTGCTTTCTGCTCTTACAGTCTTGCGAAACTTCAGAGCTTATGAATGCAATTTTCCAAGCCAACTATCTGCCTCAGATCACTTTTTTCCCCAATTCCTCTCCACTAACAGCCAAATGGCTTAACTCATGGGTAACAAAATTCTGGAAAGCTTGTTTTGCAGAAATTTTTTTACAGCTCCATGTTTTGGGATCAAAAAAAATCAGATTTGGAATACCTCGTGTCAGGCATATAAATTTTGCCACCCCATGAAAATCCATCCACAATAATGACAGCTAGAATATGCATGTCTGGAGCTACTCGAAAGAAAAAAGAAAAAGAATTTCAGAATTCCTTTAAATCAAAGAAAAAAAAAAATCAGGACTTAATCAGACTATCATGTGGGATAATTAATTCTAAGGGGGAAAGGGGGAGAACAAAGAAAGGCTTTATTAAATAAAGCTCCCACTTCACACTGTATCTTTAATGGCAAATCCTTATTTCCAGGCATATTTCAGGTGACCTAGTGACTCTGCAGTGCAGGCAGCTCTGCATGGTACTTTCTAGTTCCCAGAAGGCCTTCAGTCCTCCTCACGGCCTGGCTCACTGCTTCCTTTTCTTAACCTGCAGTCTCTCTCTGTGCGTAAGCCTGCCACTTGGCTACAAACACTGAATTCTCCAGAAACTAATCCCTTGGCCATGGCCACTAGTCTTCTTCCAGGAGAAGGAACCTTCTTCTGTCCTTCCAAGGAGGTCCCAGTCTGATCCATTATAGCACAAAGAGCATATAGCATACATAACTAAGTCAGGAAG